GACCCGCCCGTTAGGGTCCGCCCGCCCGTTCCGATCCGCCCGTTAAGGTTACGCGTGCGTGTTATTTCGAACACGCGTCATATTTTAATGTTCAGAGCGCCCGACCCGCTCGCCCGTTAAGGTTCGCATGCCGTCCGATGCGCCCGTCAAGGTTACGCGTGCGTGTTTTTGAACATGCGTTATACTTTAATGTCCCGCCCGACCCGACCCGCCCTTTTGTCGCCGCTCGTCCGAACCGATTCGCCCATTAGCGTTGCGCGTGCTTATTACTTCGAGCACGCGTCATTCTTTAGTGATCCGCCCGCCGTTAAGGTCCGCATCCGATCCGACTCGCCCGTCAGGGTTACGTATGCGTGTTATTTTTCGAGCATGCGTCATACTTTAATGTCCCGTACGCCCGACCCGACCCGCCCATTAGTCTCCGCCCGCCCGACCCGATCCGCCCGTCAAGGTTACGCGTGCGTGTTTAATTCGAGCTCGCGTCATACTTTAGTGTCCCGCCTGTCCTGCACGCTCGCCCGTTAAGGTCCGCATCCGATCCGACCTGCCCGTAAGGGTTGCGCGTGCGTGTTCTTTTTCGAGCATGCGTCATACTTTACTGTTCCGCACGCCCGACCCGACTCGCCCGTTAGGGTACGCCTGCCCGATCCGATCCGGCACCCTAGCGGATGTCTCGAGCGGCGGCGCTCGAGTTGCGAGCATGTTTCGAGCGGCAAGCGCTCTCGAGCTATTCAACCGATTCGGGCTTTTCGGACTTTTCTGACTTTTCGGGCTTTTCGGGCTTTTTGGGCTTTTCGGGTTTTTCAGGCTTTGGCTTTTCGGGCTTTTCTGCTGACCCGGGCGCCCATTCGGGCTATTCGGGCTACCCTGGCCAGAGTTGCGAGGATGTCTCGAGCGGCGATTTTCGAGTTGCGAGGATGTTTCGGCATTTCGGACTTTTCTGGCTTTTTGGGCTTTTCGGGTCAACCCGGGACTTTTTCTGGCTTTTCGGGCTTTCCTGGTGACCCAGACGCCCATTCGGGTTGTTTGGGCTACTCGGGCTACCTTGGCCAGAGCTGCGAGGATGTCTCGAGCGGCGACTTTCGAGTTGCGAGGATGTTTCGGCATTTCGGACTTTTCGGGCTTTTTGGGCTTTTCGGGTCAACCTGGGACTTTTTCTGGCTTTTCGGGTTTTTCTGGCTTTTCGGGCTTTCCTGGTGACCCAGACGCCCATTCGGGTTGTTTGGGCTACTCGGGCTACCCTGGCCAGAGCTGCGAGGATGTCTCGAGCGGCGACGTTCGAGTTGCGAGGATGTTTCGGCATTTCGGGCTTTTCGGGTCAACCGGGACTTGTTCTGGCTTTTCGGGTCAACCCAGTTAGGGACACCCCTGGCCGACGCAGTGAAAAAATCAACGAATCGGCACTGAATGTGTAATCACTCCCGATGGTTTTTTCGGGGGGGCATTTTCTAGTTTTAGGGGCTTCTCTGGAAGGACCGAAAGCCATACCGTGGCATGGCACTCGAAATAATGACACCAGCGCTGCAGCGGGAGCACGATTCAGAACGAGTGGAAGCGCGGAAATGAGGCCAGCGTTGCAACGGGAGCACGATTCGGAACGAGCGGTAGCCCGAAAATGAGGCCAGCGCTTCAGCGAGAGCAGCATTTTGAACAAAACAAGAAACGAAAAACAACAAAAAAAAAAAAACGGAAATGAGGACGCGTAGTCTGACATAGCATGGCGTGGCGATGCCCCAAAGTGGGGGGGGCTTCTGCGGCACAAAAAACCAACGAATCGGCATTGAATGTGTAATCACTTCCGATGTTTTTTTCGGAGGGGCACTTTCTAGTTTTAGGGGCCTATTTGGAAGGACCGAAAACCACACCGGGGCATGGCGCTTGAAATGATGACGCCAGCGTTGCAGCGGGAGCACGATTCGGAACGAGCGGAAGCGCGGAAATGAGGCCAGCGTTGCAGCGGGAGCACGATTCGGAACGAGCGGTAGCCCGAAAATGAGGCCAGCGCTTCAACGAGAGCAGCATTTCGAAACAAAACTCAGCGCGGAAGCGCGGAAATGAGGACGCGTTGCCTGACATAGCATGGTGTGACGACGCCCCAAAGTGGGCGGGGCTTCCGCGGCCCGAAAAATCATCGAATCGACAACGAATGTGGAATTATTTCCGATGTGTTTTCCGGGGGGGGGGGGGGGGGGGGGGGGGCACTTTCCAGTTTTAGGGGCCTATCTGGAAGGACCGAAAATCATGCCGTGGCATGGCGCTGGACATAATGACACCAGCGCTGCAGCGGGAGCACGATTCGGAACGAGCGGAAGCGCGGAAATGAGGCCAGCGTTGCAGCGGGAGCACGATTCGGAACGAGCGGTAGCCCGAAAATGAGGCCAACGCTTCAGCGAGAGCGACATGTCGGTATATTTGTTGTATATATTCCAGAACACCAAACATAAAAATATAAATATTACGTAATAGTAATAACTATAGTAGTAATGATGATAGTAGTAATAATCGTATGGTTCATAATCGTAACAATAATAATACGAATAATAAAAATAGTAATAATGAATTAAAACAGACACACACACGAAACAAAACAATAAACAAAAACAACGCCCGGGAATCGTGTGTAGAAAACATGTACGCGGAGGGGGTCCGGACATTGCCCGGACGCCACCAGGGGACAGAGGAGAGGAGTATTCAGATTGTGTCATTGTTGAGCAGGAGGTAGGAGGAGAAGGACGAGGAGGAGGAGGAGGAAGAGGAGGAACGAAGAAGGGGAGGAGGAGGAGGAGGAGGAGGAGGAAAGAGGAAGGGGGAGAAGGACGAGGAAGAGGAAAAGGCGAAGGAGGAGGAAGGAGTGAGGAAGAACAGGAAGAGGGAGGAAGGAGGAGTGAGGAGGGAAGAGGGAGGAGGGAGAAGGGAGGAGGAAGGAGGAGGAGGAGGAGGAGGAGATGGAGAGGAGGACGTAGGAATGGGGAGAAGGAGGAGGAGAGGAAGATGAGGAGGAGGAGGGGGAAAAGGGAGGAGGAGGAGAGGGAAGAGGAGGAGAAGGAAGAGGAGGAGGAGAGGAAGAGGAAGAGGATCAGTGAGGAGGGAGGAGGGGGTGGAGGAGGGAGGGAAGAGGAGGAAGAGGAGGAGGAGGTGGTGAAGGAGGAGGAGGAGGAGGAGGAGGAGGACGACGACGACGAGGACGACGACGAGAACGAGAAGGAGGAGGATGAGAAGGAGGAGGAGGAGGATGAGAAGGAGGATGAGAAGGAGGATGAGAAGGAGGATGAGAAGGAGGAGGAGGAGGGGGAGGAGGAGGAGGAGGAGGGGAGGAGGGAGGGGGAGGGAGGAGGGAGGAGGGAGGAGGGAGGAGGGAGAGGAGGGAGAGAGAGAGGGAGAGGGAGGGAGGGAGGGAGGGAGGGAGGGAGGGAGGGAGGAGGAGGAGGAGGAGGAGGAGGGAGGAGGAGGAGGAGGAGGAGGGAGGAAGATGAGGAGGAGGACGAGGGTAAGAACGGGGAGGAGGAAGAGGAGGAGGAGGAGGAGGAAGAAGAGGAGGGGGGGAGGAGGAGGAGAATGAGGAGGAGTAGGAAGGGGAGGAGGAGTAGGAGGAGGAGGAGGACGAGGAGGAGGAGGAGGACAAGGGCCCAGCCAGCGTTTCCTAGGAGCTGACTGAGCGTTGCCCACGAGCCCAAGAAGCGCTGCCCGGGAGCTGCGCATGAGCCTAGGAAGCGCTACGTGGGAGTTCCGCAAACGCTTGCGGACCTCGCAGTCGGGGCGTTTGCGGGACACATTGCGAATTCCAGAAAATCGTTGTGACGATGCTGGCCCAACAGCCGTGGCACTCAAGCTGGCCCAGCCCAGCATGCCAGCTTGTTCTCTGGAACCCGTCAGCTCTCTCAAGGAGCTATCCAGGCATATTCTTTTTTCAAGTACGTTCATTGATCCGAAACCTTGCGACCCCCCAAACCGAGACGGGACCCTCCAGATCTTTTGTCCCAAGGCCTTCTGGACGCCCCTGCAGAGAGTATCTTGGTACTTCCGGGCCTCATGGACGTCCCACCAGACGCCCGAAGACGGCCCTAAGAGCACCCCCAAAGAGGCTTTCGAAACGCAGAAAACAACGATTCGGTTCCTAGGTCTTTGGACGTCCGGGACCGCCCGAAAGGCCTCCAAGATCGCCCCAAGATTGGCCAAAAAGCTTTCAAGACGGCCCAAGAGAGCCCCAATACAGCCCAACAGGCCCCAAGATGGCCCCAAGACACCCCCCAAAAGATTCCAAATCGGGAATCCGAACGCCCAGACTCCCACGCCGCAGCCTGAGCTCTAACATCCTCATTGGACTTCTTGCAACCGTTACATTTCAACCCACACACACTTGCCCTCAGCACGAACCCCAACCCGAACACAGCGACCTTCCCTCCCTAACACCCAAACCCTATCACCTTCGCCCGAAAAACGAACCTGACGCATTGACCTGAACCCCAACACCCTAACGCCCGATACCTAGCACCCGAACTACCCACCCTGAGCACCTTAATCCAATCAACCTGAGCGGGGCTCCAATAAAACCCAGGCTCCGCGAAAATACCACGAATCAGCTCCCAGGGCTCGTGGATTCTCCCGCGAGGGCCAACTCGGCACATCTCCCACGCACTTCGCGCATGGACTTCCGGAGGGTCTGAGCTGGCCCTCAAACGGCTCCTGGGAGCTTCGATTCTCACCGAACGCGTTCCACGACTCGCACCTACTCGCAAACGTCCAAACAACACATGTATGCCTCGATGTAATGGATCATGGATCCCCGTGGCGGATCCAGGTCAGTTGCGAGTAATTACTTTGCGATTCTGGAACGCGCTTGCCGAGATTCTGCACACCCCTCACGCATTCGTGCCCTTTCGATCTCCAAAGGCCTTCGAATGGGTTGAAGCGATCCTTCCGTAGCCATTTTGGCTCAAGCCAGTGTGAGTCAGTCATGACGTGCATGCATTGCTGAGCGCAGCACTCTCAAAATTGCATCAATGGCAAACGTGCGCGGGTCCTTTTGCTTACTTGATGTATTCCCATGCGTTCGAGCACGTGCATATGAGGTGGGCGTACTGCGAATATTGAGTTTTGTCTGCTTCACTCTCCCAGCAGTAATTATTGCAGCGTTGTTTGTGAGATCTGGGAAGCGCAAGTGTGGTTCGCGCTGCCGCCATCTGTGGGTTGCAAGGCGTGGCGGCATTGACGGGAAGGTACTGCAGCAGCGTTATCCAGCATCAGTTCAACATGTCAATCATGTTTCCGTCGATCCCTTGAGAATGAAGCTTAAGTACTTAGACCTTTTCTTGCGCTGGGATTGTGGCTCAGACTTGCTACAGATGGGCCTCTTCCCCAATGCAAAGGAGGTGACAGAGTCAATGGCTTGCGTGACAGCCATTGATAAGATCCTAGCGTTACGATTTAGCGATGCGGCGACTCTCTGCATTGTCGTTGGTGACGGCTCGCTTCCGCGCACGGCAGCGCTCATCGCGATGAAGACGAAGTGGCGTCGTGTTTTGTCCATCGACCCAGACCTTGCGGGCCTCCCGGTCGCCAGCTGCCAGGGCGTTCCCCGTGTCGCAGCAAAGAACAAGGTTTGGGCGAACAACCACTCCCAGAGGCTTGAACACCATGCAGCGTTTGATGCCAGAAGGGCCAAGATGCACAGCAGGCTTGTCAGGATCGGAGAAATACGTAGGCTGGAGCTGGTGCCCCGCTTGGTGCAGGATGTTGTGGTCGACCTCGAGGATGGCTCGGAGAGTCAGGTCGTCTTGGTGTTGCCACACGCTCACGTGGTCCCGGAGGTTGCGTTGAGCAGATTGCGTTTGGGAGGCCAGCTGCTTTCACAGGGCAACCTTCCGACCGTTTCGGTGATACAGCTTCCTTGCTGCACCTTCGTGCGCTGTAATCGCATCTGGGGCCAGGCGCCAGATGCCGAGTACACAGATGAGTGCATCTGTAGCGATGACCGTATGACCCCACGGACGGTCAGGGTATGGAAGAATGTAACTCCTGCTGGTATCGCTTGCAAGTGGAGGGATAGAGGCGCTTTTAATAATTCGGAATGATGTGCAATGATGTAGTGAACCCCGATGTGTTGCAACTAGAACACTGATGTTCTTGCAACCGCAATTCTATAAAAAGAAGTCCTCGAATGGATTGATGATCTTGGGAGCAACGAGCGCGTGACTGAACAAGAAAGAGAGCTGAATGGATCCTCATTTCGGCGCACCCAGCACGCACTTCGTGCCTCATGGGCCTTTGAGGACGGCTCAATGAGGGGGCCTCATGTCGGCACACTCTTCACGCATTTTATGCGCCCCTAGGGACCGCCAGAGGCCATTAACTGGCCTTCACGACGGCGGAATGGATCCGCATTTCGGCGCACCCCTCGCACACTTCGCGCTGCATTGACCACCAGGGGCTCCCAGCAGGCACTCAAGATGGCTCCGGGGACCTTCATTTCGGCACACCCCTCGTACAATTCGTGCCGACTCCTGCAGATGGCCCTCAAAACGTCGGAATGGATCTTCAATTTGGCACACACGCACACCCCACGCACTTCGTGCTTCAAGGCCCCGGGGGCTTTCAATTAGCCTTCCAAGACAGTTCACGGGAGCCCTATTTCGGCACACTCCTCACGCATTTCGTGGCCCATGGACCCTTCAACAGAGGACTTGTTCAACATGGGCTGGTTCAACAGAGGACTGGGTCGGGTCACCAGGGACTGGTTCAAAGGAGGTTCGGTGCAACAGAGACCAATTTATCAAAGATTGGTTCAAAATGACCCAGTCAAGAGTACCGGTTTCACAGACCCGACCAAGTTCCAAACACCCGGTTCCACAGAAGCATACAAGCGTCGCGGTGGTTGGGGCAAGAGAGGGAGTTTGGGGATCATGGTTTGTCGTCGTCGTGATGTCCAGTTGGATAGATTGCGTACTGCTTTGACTTCCTGCCCCACTCGACCCGATCGCCCCTTGGGGTCTGTCAGCTGCAAGCCCCCTTCGGGCCCGCCCACCCGGACCGCCTGTTGGGGTCCGGTCCGCCCGCCGGATCCGCCCGTTCGAGTGCGCGCGCCCGGCCCTTGCGGTCGTCTCCCTCCTCGTCGTCGGCCTCGTCGCCGCCCTCGACGTGGTCGTCGTTTTGGCCTTCGCCCGTCCGAGCTTCCCCGACACGACACGCCCGCCCGCTTTGCCGCCCTCGTCGTCTTTCCACGGCCCGCCCCGCCCGCCCGTTGGGGTCCGCCCGGCCGACTTGACCATGGGGTCCGCCTGCCCGACCCGCCCAGCAGGGTCCGCCCGACCTGCCCGTCAGGGTCCGCCCCCCGGACCCACACCCTAAGAAGGGTGGGGGCGGGGGAAACACACACGCACACACACACACAACAACAACAACAACAACAACAACAACAACAACAACAATCACTTTACCCGAACGCTCAGTGTTCTCACCAGTGCCAGGGTTTTCATGCGACGCCAGCCAATACCCCCACTTTGTGGGGGGGCAGTGCAAGCTCTACCAAATATCCACACGACTCTTCGCCACCACCCACACCCAGCTTCCCGCCCTATGACGTTCGGACACTTCACTTCGTGGCCTGCGGACGACCGTGGCTACTACACTGGCGTGGAGTACACACCCACAGAAGTTGTTAAGCCTACGTTCGTACACCCACAGAAGTTGTTAAGCCTTGTTAACCCACAGAAGTTGTTAAGCCTTCCACAGAACATCTGTTGCATATGATGCATATGGTACATGATACACATGATACACATGATACGTACTCACAAGATAGTTGATCACATCTTTAGGGCAAATTCCTGAGGGATGTGGGAATACACAAGAGAGAGAGGATATGGTTGTCCCGATGGTTGTCTCGATGGTTGTCCCGATGGTTGTCCTGATGGTTGTGGTTGTCCCGATCGTTGTCCCGATGATTGTCCCGATGGTTGTCCTGATGGTTGTGCTTGTCCCGATCGTTGTCCCGATGACTGTCCCGATGATTGTCCCGATGGTTGTCCCGATGGTTGTTCCGATGGTTGTCCCGATGGTTGTCCCGACCGTGGCTACTATTCAGGGCCCCGCGGCCGACGACGACGGCGTGCGCGCGCGAAGAAAAAACGAATGTGTCCCGCATGGTATTATTTGACAGGGATGATGGCCCTGGCAGGTGCGCAACCGTTGTCGCAGAAGTTCGAAAAAGTTGCTCGCAAAAGCCCGTTTGACAGAAATGTTTAAAAAGTGTTGGGTTTCCTACGAATCCGCAAGAGCGCGCGGGATGAGATTTTGACATTTTTTTGTTGAAAAACCATTGGTTTTTTGATGTTTTTATGTTAAAATCGCTGCGAACACTAAGGTTTTGGAAGGATTTCGTCTTGCGCGCGCGAATGTCCACTTTACCTTATTTTTTGCAAGGGATTCTTGAAATTTGATTATATTAGAACAAGAAATGTCATTTTCTATTGTTTTTTGCAAGGGAAAGCGGATTACAACAAAACAACCGGATCCTGTACACACCCTCTTTTCTGAGGCTTCCTCACGAAAATGATGAAAATGTAGCTGCGGCCTAGGCGGCGCAGGGGGGGCGCGCACCAGGGGGCCCAACAATAATTATTCTTTAGAATAAATAATGTTCAACAACAACAACAATTACTAGCACGTGGGGACACTCCGTTCTCACCAGTGCCAGGGTTTTCATAGGAGGCGGGCAATACCCCCACTTTGTGGGGGGGCCGGTTCAAGCTCTACCAAATTTCCAAACGGCTACTATTCAAGGCCCCGCGGCCGACGACGACGGCGTGCGCGCGCGAAGAAAAAACGAATGTGTCCCGCATGGTATTATTTGACAGGGATGATGGCCCTGGCAGGTGCGCAACCGTTGTCGCAGAAGTTCGAAAAAGTTGCTCGCAAAAGCCCGTTTGACAGAAATGTTTAAAAAGTGTTGGGTTTCCTACGAATCCGCAAGAGCGCGCGGGATGAGATTTTGACAATTTTTTGTTGAAAAACCATTGGTTTTTTGATGTTTTTATGTTAAAATCGCTGCGAACACTAAGGTTTTGGAAGGATTTCGTCTTGCGCGCGCGAATGTCCACTTTACCTTATTTTTTGCAAGGGATTCTTGAAATTTGATTATATTAGAACAAGAAATGTCATTTTCTATTGTTTTTTGCAAGGGAAAGCGGATTACAACAAAACAACCGGATCCTGTACACACCCTCTTTTCTGAGGCTTCCTCACGAAAATGATGAAAATGTAGCTGCGGCCTAGGCGGCGCAGGGGGGGCGCGCACCAGGGGGCCCAACAATAATTATTCTTTAGAATAAATAATGTTCAACAACAACAACCACAACCACAACCACAACCACAACCACAACCACAACAACAACAACAATAACAATAACAATAATAACAACAACAACAGCAACAACAATAACAACAACAGCAACAACAATAACAACAACAGCAACAACAGCAACAACAACAAATGTGATGCGGGGGGAACAATAGAGCCTTGGGGGAATGGGACGGGGGGGGCGGGAGACCAGACCAGTCCAGGTGGGTGGGGGGGCTGCCTCCCTCTTTGCGTGTTAATGAGGTTGGGGAGGGACATCATCTTTCAATTACACTGGGCGCACAACTCAGCTCATGAGTGGACACCCCTCGGAAAATCAAGATGCAAGTTTAACAGCGTGTGTGTACATTTACGGTTCATGTGTATACATATAAAGATACATACATACATACATACATACACAGACAGACAGACATATACATATACATATACATATACATATACATATACATATACATATGCATATACATACGTATACAAATACATATACAGATACATAAACATATACATATACATATATCGGAGTACGCGGGGGGGGCAGGCCGCTGCCTGTACCCTCCATGGGCGCCACCCAGCGTTTCTGGAGGGGTCCCAGAGCTCCCGAGACGGCCCGGGCCCGCCCCGAAACAGGCCACGACTGGCTAAGGGGGCCCAAGAGGGCCCAAGACGGTCCCAAGAGGCCTCGAAGACGCCCAAGATGCCCTCAAGACGGCCGACGAGGACTCCAACGCGCTCCAGGACGGACTCAAGAGGCTCCCTAAGAGGGCCCTGGGAGGCAAAGTTCATTCATTATCCGATGATTTTTGAAGCGTTTTGGCGTTCTCGCTCTTCCCGCTTCCCAGCGCTCCCTCACGGCCTCGGAGGCCCTTTAGATCGCTTCAAGACGGCCCGCGAGGCCCCGAACAGGACCCCAAGACGGCCTAAGAGGCTCCCCAGAACCCAAGAGCGCCCCAAGAGGGGGCCCAGAGGGACACCGCGAACCGATATTTCGAGGTCTGGCCCTAGAGGCCCCCAGAGGCCACCAAGAGGCTCCCATGAAGCCCCGTGAGGCCCGCAAGAGGCCCCCACGAAGCCCAAGAGGCCCCCAAGGGGTCCCCAGGGAACGCCCAAGAGGCCCCCAACACACCCCAACAAGTCATGTCCCCAGAAAGCCTTCCGGGGGCATCGTTTATCATGGGGCCGAGAGTCTCCAGAGGCTTCGAAGTACCACTGCGCTCCCGGAGAGCTGTCTGGAAAGTTGACTGGGAACATGACTAATCGCTTTCTCGCGGCCCTCCGCGGATCGTTTCGAACAAAGTTGCCCCACTCTTGAATCCACGACGAAGACGACGAAACGACGAAGACAAGGACGACGACGACGACGACGACGACGACGACGACGACGGCACGCCTCAGCAGGCTCCCCAAGACGCCCCCAAAACCCATGTTCCCAGAAGGCCTTCTGGGAACCCGATTCATCAGGCCTCCGCCCCCTTACGCAACAATTTTCCCCGAAAGTCTTCCGGAATGCGGATTGACATGCATGGACTTCTCACTGCCCATAATGCGTTCAGCGTTATGGGTCCCTCTTCACTTCCCGTTGAAGCCACTTGTGGTACACTACTTCAGTGGAGCAGTGAACTCGTCAAGGTCTGGGGCCTCCTAGAGCCTGAGCGCGCGCGAAGCGCGCGCGATGAGTCTAGTGTGTGTGTGTATATACATACATACATACATACA